AGGTAAGAAGCGTTTATGAGAGTACAAGTGCTATATCTGGTAGAGTCCAACGCTGCTTACTGTAGGTTTTTTCAAAAATATGTAATGCAAAGTTCGCAATTGCGCCTTACAACTTTGTATCTCATTGAAAAGCCTTATTTGGTTTAGTAATATGACTTTGTTATTCATACGGCTAAAAGTTCAGAAATTTTTTCAGAATTTCAGAAACAACTAGTACTGCTTCACCAAAATTTTTTTGGTGAAGCAGTACTAGTTGTTGACGAAGCTTCAACAGTTTCACGTATAACACTGGGATGACAGACTACTTCAACATTCTGGAAATTACCCCTTGCATAAAGTTAGACATTTATGGAACGCAAGTGGACGAGAATTTCACGTTTTTGGTAAAATTTTGGGGTATTCGCAGATAGTAGTTTCACATCAACGATTCCCAAAGTGTACTATTTCATTTTAAAACAGTTGCTATAATTTAGCAACAATTAAAAAGCAAGAAATTTGGGAAAAGAATTAGGAGAATATGTGAAATAGAGGACTGTTAGTCTAGCATTCGAAATATTTTGCAAAGGATATAAGTCTAATGTAAGCTTGACATCACACTTTGAAGTAAAAAGTTTGAAAATGTCAAAATAACTGAATCATAACAATGACTGCGTGTGCATTTTTTAGAAAGAACCTACAAAAGTCGTTTCCTTTTAATGGCTTTCGGTAGATTTTATCTATTACAAAGAGCCGCGTGTCGTAGAGAGCTTATGGAGCTAACAAGCAAAAAAGAGATTATTGAGGCAAAGATATTACACTTTAAAACAATTTGCTGGAAAAACTATTGCAAATTGAGATTATCGCTGCCATTTCTTAATTATCAGCAGTCTCTAACCAGAAGTGTCAGGTCTATTGTGCGTTGAGACTAATAGAGTGTCACAAAAATCGTACTCACTGCTTATTAACATACTTAAGACCGAATATTTGTGTTCGAATAATATATCCACGCATTTCGAATAATTCGAAATTCCATGTTCGAGTAATCCGAAAGATTAGTTCATTTCGAATAGTCGAATATTTGAAAAGATGAACTTGTTCGACCATTCGAAAAGTAGATTATCGTCGAATA